ATGGTTTGGACACGGCTAACAAAAAATCAGCGAATCTGGAATGTTCATTTCCGAAGTTATTAAATGTGAAACCAATTCGTTACTATCCGAAAAATCTGGCCTCAAATCGAATGAGTATAAAATGAAGTATTCACTAACGACTCTAGATTTTCATTGCACCTCTGCTTAGACCTGTGGCTGACTCAGTCGTCGGTAAGTATATCTACAAGTGATCCTATGATTTATGTCCATCAGACAATGTATTTTATACGTAATTATACGTAAACGCCGGAATGGGAATCGGAGCCGATGGGTGGCGCATGCACTCTCTCTATCTCTCTGATGGTATCGCTATTTGCAAAAAAAAATAAAAAATACCAGATTAATTTCTTGGTTAATGCGAGGAGAGGGTGGTGATTGTCTTGGGACATGACGCTACGATGATGTGTGAAATATGGAAAGAGAGAAGAGGAGAGAGCGAGAGAGAAAGAGCGAGCGCCTGTTGTATTCTGATGTTAATCCTTGCACTCCTTTATCCTGTGTCATACATATACATATGTAAATTGTGGAGAGAGGATGCACTTTAAATTAAGTTGAACTTTGAATCCCGATGTCTATCTCATTTAATGAGCGCTTGGAACTCTTTAAATCTCTTGAATAAAACAAGAAAAAATAAACTAAAGTTTAGTTTATAAAGGACCTATCTGTGGTAAGGCCTATATCGGATCGACGTGGTTAATTTGAGTGTATGAGAATTGAGGAGAATTCAATCTGCTCGAAAAGTCTCCAAAGATGAGGAAAATCGCATGCAACCGAGAAATAAACTCGCAAAATAAAACATCCAACGACAATGTTTTTTTTTTGTGTCGATGCTCAATCAGAAATGGGAAGAGTCTGAACAGCACCTTCGTCAAAAAAATATGGAATATGTATTTTAATAAACGTAAATTTAATTTAACCAAATAAATGCTAAATGCGCGAATGCATAAACTATATATGTACGTAATACGTGTGTGTATGTGTGTATGTATGTATACATGCATGCCAGAAAGTCGCGTCAAAAGCCAAAAAAAAAAAAGAAAAAAAAAAAAACAGCCACACAGCAGTGCAAAGTGGGCTAAATGCGGGAGGAAATGGGAGCTTATACGGTATTGGAGCTGCCGTCAGCTGGCCCCATACATACACAACAAGAGCGATTGACCCGTCATCTGGTTCGGGACTGGGGCTGGGGCTGGGGCTGGTGCTGGCGCTGCTGCATTGCTGGGAGCTGAACTGGAGATGCTGCAAGGCGAGGAGCTCCCGCAGCATTGAGCCATGGCTGCACAAAGCCGAGCAGAGTTAATTTTTATTTTGATTTGATTTGGTTTGTTTTTTGTTTTCCTTTTATTAGATCGTTGTATATCGATAAGACGGCCAGAACAAGCAACAAGAAACAACGCGGGACCGCACGAAAGTCGCAGTAATAATAAATAAAGCAAAGACACAGAACGCACGAGGGGGGAAAAAAAAAAACAAAAATCGATCCAAAGCAAGATCGAAATCACCGCTGCGCAATGCGTTCCGTTCCGCACACGTCGCTTGTCGCTTTTCGAAATAGGAATGAGCAAAAGGCAAGGTAGAGCAGCAAACGGCACGCGCGCGATCCGACGTCGGCGTTGCCGTCGCCGTCACCGTCGCCGTCCGTTGTGCTGTCGGTAATCGCAATCGGTGGGTTTGTCTAGGCACAGATTATGAACAGTGCTACCAGTTCAGATATTTTGCCGCAAAAAAAAATCGCCAACTATCTCAGTAATCTAATTTCTTCCCTCTATGGATGTAACAATTTACAATATGATTTTTAAAGTACCACCACCCAAATCAACGGAATTCTGATTGGCTATTGGTAAGAATAAATGCAAAAACCTTTCGGCTTTTTTTTTATACATATACAGGTATATTTTCTCTACCTTTCTTAATTGACATTTCACACTACTGCCTGCCAACGGTAATTATACACACACATATATATACACATGCACATGAACATTGCCAATTGCTCCAATAGCAGTAGGTAAGGTACCGTTTTGGGAGAGGAAATGGCTCTTGGCTTGGCGGAAATATTTTTTGTAAGTGCACACACAGCGAATAGGACGGGTTTCTAATTAAATTAGCAAACCAATAGGGACAGAGGTGCTCAGCTTGCCAACAAAACTATTTTTGACAAGTTGTTTCCCTCGATCGATTGAATAAGCCAGAGAGAGAGAGAGAGAGAGAGAAAGGGAAAGAAGGAGAGTGAGAGAAGGGAGAGAAAGAGAGAGAGCGGGAGAACGGGAATAGGTAAGCATGGACAGCAAGCTATAGACTCTCTTCTGCTCCTGGCCTTTGTAGGCATACTTCTGTGTACTATTCATACCTACCAAGAAAAGCTACACGCGAATATTTGTAAACAAAATAAGCGAGAGATGCAAATGGACAAGACGCAGCCCTGGTCAGCAGTAGGGGCCGATATGTTGATACGACTGGTCCCTGGCTTCTCTTTTCAAATCGATCAGAGCACGATCACGTGATCTCCGTTTAATTAGTATTTGTGCAGATTTCGTTGAAATGTTCGCGCACAAACACACACACATACACACACCTCTTTTGGATTTATAAATAAATGCCCAAGTCCACAGCACTGCGCTATCGCTCGCTCATGCGCTGCGCCTCTATTCTGGCACAGCGCAAAGCCGATAGCATGACAAACCGTACCTGTAAGAACAATAAACAAAAACAACAACAACAAAAAGAGCAATGTGCACTTGAAAATGTTTGGGGACAGTCACTTCAAAAGCATATGTATGTGTAAAATTGATATTGGGAATTTATGTTTAGATTAAGATTTCAGACAACTTTATCACAAGTCTTTCTGAAGATAATTGAAATAATTGTTATTGTTATTGCGATTGGATTACTATGTCATAGAACTATCATGTGAACGATCTATTTGCCAGGAGCCGTACGAAATTAGTTTCACAAAAATGCAAAAAGCGCGCCAAAAAAAAAACAAAAAAAAAACCATCCAAGCAACAGATGTAATCTACATTTTTTTTAGTGGTTCCAAAGCCGCAACACCACAATACCCGGTACTCAGTCAGTACACACATACATACGTACGTATGTACATGTTATTTTATGATTACAATTTAAGTGTAATTTTGTAAAAGTATATTCCTCCATTCCGTCTATGCTCTTTCCCTCTAATGACAAATATTTTATCTGTTTCCACAGCACACATTCCGTTATATGTATCTCCCAATCTCTCTTCCCACACACCATGTACCATCAACCTTTATATCTCACTCTCCATGCAAGGTGGAGCCACTGGACGAGAAAGAGATGGAGAGCGATCGCACGGCTACGCGAAATTATTGCCTTTATTCCAGCCCATCTGATCAATATCTCGATTTTTCGAATCTACTAAATTGTTAATTGTTTGATTGCTTAGTGTCTGAGAACTTTGCGACAAACGCTGCCTTCTGGCTGTTACATACATCATACATTAATATAATGTCGTCTTCATAAATACACACAAGTAAAGTACATTTGTTAGCAACTACGGACATCGCTACATCGACTTCATGCTAATTAAGAATATACATACATACATATTTATACTATTCCTCTCTTACGCTTTAAACATGCATTTTTTTAAATACACTACTGTCGGAAGAAAAGCTCCACTCCAGCAGCACACAACACTGTGCGCAAAATGCAACACTGCTATAACTTACTAAAGCAATGGCCGAATACTGTGATGGCGGTGTTCAAGCGTATGTGTGTATGTGTGTACGTGTGACAGCCTGTAGACTGTGTACGTGAGCTAATGAGAGCGACTACGAACTAGGCAAAATGTGAAATGTCAAAACATTGCGTAAATTTTCGCCCCCTCCATAGCACACCTTATAACTAGTTTTTGCAACTAATAAAATTTAAAATATTACATACACAACCCGATAAAGGCAAATTTATTTTTCGGCGACCCGCAACGAAAAAAACAAATCAACCCCGCACTCACTAAGTCACGCACGATGGTAGAAAGCAGAGTAAAGAACACACTTAAAACAAAAATAAAGAGAGCCTGCCAAGCTCTTTTCCTTGGGTTCGAGTGTCCCCTCTCTGGGGCTATTTGTGTGTTGCATTTTTTGCATGTGTGTGGGGATGCGCGTGTCAGAGGCAACTTTGAAGAACGTAAAATGCAGCTCACCTTATCCTTCGTATTTATTTTGTTTCAACCGAACGAACAATCCTTCCACTGGCGTTTTTTTATTTTTCCTTATTTTATTTTTTTGTCGATTTCCACGACGCTGCTAATAGTCGATGGTCTTCCAACATGTTTTTGGTAAATGTCGTGTCTGTTGGAAAAACGTCTCTCCCAACGTCGTTGCCGAGCAAGATGGAGATAGCGAGCGATAGCATCAGCAGTGGGCTGGCCCCGCTACGAGAATATCAACAACAGCTCGGCAAATACATATGTACATACATGTGTAAAACACCGTTCTATAATTTTCAATTCAATTTTTATTCTCACAACATTCACTTTTGCACTTCATATTGAGTTTTCCCGACGCTGACCAAAGTGTTCTCTCTGCTGCGGCGCATCGTGTGTGTGTATGTATGTACATATTTATTTGGTTCTCTTTTGGTGTGCTGTTAAGAGCATTACTCAACACTCTTTTGCCGTCGGGAGACGGACCCACGACGAAACTATACAAGGTGGTCTTCATACTCTTAAATTAACAACACATCCAAATCATCACGCACACACATCCAATCGCAACGAAGCTTGCTGTTGTATTTGCTGCTGTACTGAGCAAAATAAGCCCAGAAAAGAGAGCACGTTGCGGGAATGTACCACCTTGAACAATTTCATTTTGGGTAGACCGACGGTAAACACACAAATGTGCAAGGGGGACTTATATAAATACGTATGTACATATGTATGTATATGTGCATTTTTATTTCTTATGAACACGTATTATTGGAACTTTTCTTGTACTTACCCCTTAACAAGTGCAACAATTGCGAGGCAGCATCAGCATGACAGTGGTGTAACTGTTAGGTGCTTTTCAGGTTTTTTTCTTTTATGGTTGGGCTGCGTTTTGTTCACAGACACATATGTACACAAAACGACGAGCGGCTAAGAACTCTCATAAAAAACGCAGCGCGCTTTGGTTACACACACATACACTACACAACAAATAATAGATACATTTGTATATGTCTGGATATCATATATATATGCGAATACATACACACAAATGTACGAAACGAGAAATCGTATTCGAATATTTTAAAAAAGTATGTATATATGCTCTGTACTTTTAATTAAAGTAGACACTGATTTGATACAACCGCCCCTACAGGCACACAATTGGCTGGGTGATGCAAAAGCGAGTTTTTGTGGAACTGAAGCCTCTTCTGACTTTAAAAAAGATGAAGGCGATTTTTTGGATCTTCCACTCCAATTCCTCAGCAGGCATCCATCCAATTGTCCTCTCTCACTCTCTCTCTCTCTCGCACTATCAATTACAAATCAAACTCAGAGCTGTATGCAGTACATGGCACACAACATTGCACAGACAACAGAACGTAAAAAATGTGTTATTAGACGAAATTTTTCTGCCACTTTTGCCTCTCGACACAAATCGAACGTTTTTCACGGTTATAGTATGCAATGCAACGACGAAATTATACCTAGTATTAATAAACTAAAAATTTAGAAGAAAGACGTGCGAAGTATAACTGGAGAGTTATTTTTATCGATAGCCCCGTCCCTACTGAACTCCAAATGCTACAATACATCGATGGCCAACTTTTCCAGTCTTTTTCAGACACATCTATGGTATTTTTGAAGCCTTTTTTTTTGCTGTATAGCCTGCACACACTGGGGCTAGTATCGGTAATAGAGAGGCTATTCATAATAATTATTATTGGGGTATTTTCGAGAACCTTCAATTAAAAAATAATATTTGTCAATAAAATTGGAAAGTTCATAAAATAAATTTTGGGATTTTTCAGCATTTCATTCAGATCAGAAAAATTAAATACCGACTAAAGCCTAACCACTCAGATCAGCAACATTTTCCATCGTTTGGAAACGATAAAAGGCTTGGACAATTTTGCAGTAGGTGTTGACGAGACCTCAAATTAGCAAATTAGGTAGCCGATTAATACTGGAAAGGCAACCGATACATACTGGAGTAGCAACGATGGTACATGAAAAATCGATGTTTTTCGAATTTTTGCATGAAATTAACCCATTAAGGGTGTGATATGAATACGAAACAATTATGTTTACTATTCAAGTATTCAAGGTGACTAGTGTCAATAAGAAAAAAATGTTCAAGTACGTATGCATGCCTGCATAAATCTATTTGCATAAGTGTGCCCAGCAAACATCTCTTGAGATTTCCTCAAATTTATAATGATGGGGTATCGAAAATCCCTATGCAGTTATTTTGTATTTAAATTAATACTTATTAGTAGCCCCTCAACGCATGAAATTTCGATCGATTCCGCACAGGCGGCACATTCAAAAAGGAGGAAACCTGGAAGGTTACCATTGCCATCGTCACCATTCAAAATTGGAGGGAACAACTTCTGTGGGCGATCCAAATAAATATTATGCTATCTGGGATTTCTAAAAAAATTTGCACTATTATATCACTAGACCAACTGTTAGATTAAAAGTCCAATGAAGCATTCTGTTCCTTTTATCGACCCAGTTGTTTTGTATGGATCACGAACTAGTTCACAATCATATGTATATGGCACGTCACTAGTTTCCTATTCTGTTGTTAACCATAGATAGCCCATAAATTTGTGCAATGGTTTGGATTCCCATAGTCCTACGTGAAAAACAGTAATCCTAAAATCTTTGTCTTCCCCAGAGTGCCCTGTTTAATTTCCAAAGCTTGCTGTCCGTCATCCTGCTCCTGATCTGCACCTGTGCTTATTTGCGGTCTATGTTCCCCAGCATCATCGACCGGAAAAAGACTGGGTAGGACCCATCAAGCCACCTCTTTCCGTTCAATTACCAAATATAGCTCTTCATTTCAGCCTGCTTGGTACGTTTTGGAAGTTGGCGCGCATAGGTGAGCGAAAGTCGCCCTGGGTCGGTGCCGCTTGCCTCTTGATGGCGTTCACTGTTCTCTTCTGGAGCTAGCCCTAAGTTTTAGTAATGTCACTGACATCTTCATGGCCTAAACGCAACAGTCAAATGTTTTTCATATATGTATAACTGAAATGTACGGATTTTAAATATATGCATGCACAAACATGCATTGTTTACCACTGGAATTTACTGTAAACTAATGGTGATTGTGACTGATGACTAGCAGTTTCGCTTAAAAGGAGCGTGTGTTGTGGCCGGCAGAAGAATGAATGAGCGCCTGCATTAGGGCGTGGGAGAGGTAAGCCAGCAAAGTCGCAGAGGAGTCAGGCTCCAGAGCTAGCTGCTTTTGGATCACCGACGGCTACATTACTCATCGCAGCACGGATTTTGAATAGTGTTCAACTAGGAAGTTCAGCCCTGAATTAGGTTTCGTGTACTGGTGAAACCAACGCAACTTGCTCAGCGCACACTGATGGATTGCATACGACAGTGCCTTTAATAATAGTACGCTCCACATTCCGAAATCCATCACTCAGCCAGTTGTGCTGGTGAACGCGCCCAATGTCTCTTCCCTACGCGTACATCCTGTAGCCCTTCAAGCTTAATTGTGCAAATCATTCAATGGAGAAGCCCAAGAAGGACATTAAGAATCTCAAGGCGTGATTTTTTTGTTCATGTATTTCAACAGTGATAGTTCATCGAGTGATTAAACTGCCCAATCTACTTGGTGGAGACACGTGTGCGCTTGTTCCAGGAAAAGTTGATCCCGTAGTTCTTGACGCGCTCCTTCTTGGGCTTCTCTTCGCCATCGATATACCAACGCCAGCCGTTGCGTTCACAGTAGGTGATGGCTTCGTCTTTGGTTCCGAACTGCACATTTAAATTGGAGAGCGGGTCGCCACTGTGGAAAAAGCAAGACAAATGTGTACTAGGCCATTCAAAGTCTAATCGCGCTACTTACGAAGAGGCCCAGCCCATTAGAGGGTTTTCCCATCGCTCCCGATTGTCGAACTCAATCTGCCAAGTGTTAATGTTGTCTGTGCCGCTTTGCATTGCATTCTTAGGTGGTATGTGAATGCGCACACGACGGTCCTTCAGCTGCTCCCCGGGCACTCCGGAAATGGGACCAAGATTTACGGCAGTGGGCACGGTGATCTTTCCACTCAATTTGTTGCGCTGTTCCAATTCCTCAGGACGGGCCAAGGCCGTTTTTAGATCCAATGGAGCAGTATCTTTGGTAGAAGCGCAGCGGGAAGTTGTGATTTTATTGACGTTTAATCTACAGACCAACCAAAACACGAATGAATGGTTAGCATTTCTAAGATGTGCGATGATTGACACTTACAGCTGAAAGGATGTAGTCCTGCACATTACTTGGCGTATAAGCGACATTTTCGCAGGTAGAATTACGTAAAATTTGGAACAGAAATCAATCGGTTTTGTTTAGTGTGGTCGCTCATGAACGAACGAACGTTCACTGCAGTGAATGAACTAAAACAGTTCCAATTAATCGTTTTTTTTTTCAGGTGAAAGATATGGTGGTTTTTTTTAAGTTCAGACGAAATATGGCATAAATCTACAAGAAGAATTTACAATCGCTATTATTTTCCGCCATTTACCTCAAGTAGTTAAACTTTTTAAATAGAGGAATATAGAACTTGAATTCGTCAGTATATTTACGGTATACTTTTAAAATGAGACGGTGTATTTTGGTATATTTCTGAGGGTCGGACGGTATGTTTTATCCATAAGTCCACGGTCACACTGACCATCACTGACTCCTTGCAAAATTGACAGTGACCAAGGACATCGACATTGCGTAGAATTATAATTCTAATCTGATTGTGATTTTCATAGTAAAAACAAAATTTTATTTGAGTTGACATGGGTGTTCCGAAGTTTTTCCGCTATATCAGCGAAAGGTATCCGTGCCTGAGCGAATTGGCGCGCGAGCATAGCGTAAGTTATGGGTCAACGCTGTCTCCCCAACCACGTCATCAGCTGTTTCCTTTCCTTTTCATGCTAACAGATCCCTGAGTTCGACAACCTATACCTGGACATGAATGGCATCGTCCACAACTGCTCCCATCCGGATGACAACAACATACACTTTCACTTGGAGGAGCAGCAGATATTTCAGGATATTTTCAACTATGTGGACAAGCTGTTCTACCTGATTAAGCCACAGAAACTTTTTTTCCTGGCTGTGGATGGTGTTGCCCCGCGGGCCAAAATGAATCAGCAAAGAAGCCGCCGCTTCCGCTCTGCCCGCGAGGCTGAAATGCTGGAGGCCAAGGCCCTGCAAAGAGGAGAACGTCGGGAGCACGAGCGTTTCGATAGTAACTGCATCACGCCAGGCACTGATTTCATGGAGCGGCTGCAACAGGGTCTCCGCTGTTTCCTCAAGACAAAGATCTCCACAGACCCACTCTGGCAGAAGTGCTCTGTGATCCTCAGCGGCCAGGAGACGCCCGGCGAGGGTGAACACAAGATTATGGACTACATACGCTATATGAAGGCCCAGCCCAACTTTGACCCCAATACCAGGCACTGCTTATACGGCCTGGACGCGGATCTCATCATCCTGGGATTGTGCACACACGAGCTGCACTTTGTGGTGCTACGCGAGGAGGTCAAGTTTGGAAGAAATGCAAAGCGGGCTTCCGTCGAGGAGACGCGCTTCTTCCTCTTGCATCTCGGCCTGCTTCGGGAATATCTCGAGCTGGAGTTCCACGAGCTGAACACCGCTCAACATAAGCTAGATGTGGCCCAGCTAATCGACGACTGGGTCCTTATGGGCTTCATGGTCGGCAACGACTTCATTCCTCATCTGCCCTGCCTGCACATCTCCTCCAATGCCCTGCCGCTGTTGTACAAGACGTACATACGCATTTACCATTCCCTTGGTGGCAACATCAACGAGCACGGCAAGCTGAACCTACAGCGACTGCAGATCTTCATGACGGCTCTCAGCGAGGTAGAGCTGGAGCAGTACAAGGAGCACGCCGACGATCTAAAGTACGCGAATGGCAATACAGAGGCCTTCGACATAGACGTTGGAGAGATATCCTCCTCCAAAGACTACGATTCCGACCTGAAGGCCCTGATCGATGACAGCACACAGGTTGGACCGTCCTTCCCTGAATCCCCTATCAAGAGTAGCCCCATTATTCCTTGTTTTTTCCGACTCTCTTGAAGCTCTACAATGACGACAGCGATGAGGATCTGAGCGACGAAGAGGCTGGCGTGTTAAAAGACTTCCAAAACTACAAGCGTAACTATTACCGCAACAAGTTCAATCTCAGCTCGCGGCCACCGAATCAGCTGATCGAAGAGTTGGGCCACCACTATGTGACTGCACTCCAGTGGATCCTGGACTATTATTACCGCGGCGTGCAGTCGTGGGACTGGTACTACCCCTTCCACTATGCCCCCTTCATCAGTGACCTCAACAATATCGCGACTGTCCAGATCAAGTTCCAGCTAGGGACGCCTTTTCTTCCCTTCGAACAGGTTTACGTTGCTCCCGCCCAGTTGTAGTCCAACATTCTCATATGCTACTTTCATTTCAGTTGCTTGGTGTTCTGCCGGCAGCCAGTTTCAAGCTCCTTCCCACTGCCTACCACGACCTCATGCTGAAACCGACCAGCCCCTTGGCGGAATTTTACCCCACGGACTTTAAGAGCGATCTCAATGGCAAGAAAAACGACTGGGAGGCCGTCGTACTCATACCCTTCATAGACGAGTGCCTACTGCTCAGCGTAATGCGGGCGTGCGAAGCCCATCTGTCGACCGCAGAGAGAGCCCGAAACAGGCACGGACCGATGTACCAGTACGACTACAGTCCCCAGGATGTGGGCTCGATGCCAGCCCTGCCCCCGCTGAAGGCTCTGCAGCACGTGAACTGCACAGAAGTGGCCCGGTGGGCCGGAGAGATTGCCCTGAATCTCCCCCATAGCGTTTGCGTTGAAATGCCGAATGCAGCGCGCCACGTCTTCTTCCCTGGCTTTCCCACTATGAAGCATCTGGCCTTCAATGTAAGTTCAACGTGTATTATTCTGTGTGACAATCAATCCACCGCTCTGGCTTCGTTAGTTTGAGCTGCGTCACGGTCGGGTGAAAGTCTTCGAGCAAGTCAGCCGCAACCAGAATATGGTGCTGATGCCACGAAGACAAGCGACGGAGGATTCCTTGGAGGCAGTGGCTGCACGATACTTGGAACAGGTGGTGCACATTGGATGGCCCCATCTTATAATGGCCAAGGTTGTGAAGGTCGCCACGCGTGATCAGTGCATCGACAAGGATGGGAGGTCCTCGAACGAGTCGCGACGCTTCGATGCGGAGTGCAAGGCGTTGCAAGAACAGTTGAGTGCTGCCCTTTCCTGTCAGGTGCTGTCAGGTCCTAATGCCCATGCAATTCCTTCTATTGTACACAGCTTCAGTACGCGCATGGGGATACAGTTCGACAACTACGACGTTCTCGTGTACGCGCGTACCTACGCGGGAAGCTCCGTCGATTTCGGCGCCAAGGGCACCGTGCACATGAAGGATGCCTGGAGCAGCAGTATTACAGAATACCCGGCTCAGGGCGTGGTAGGCGAGCTGTCTGTGCAGAAGAACATGCGCCAGCAGTTCTCCAAAATAGAGCAACTCTTTCCCGCCGGCAGCTTGGTATTTTTCATCGGCAGTCCTTATTACGGCAGCGAGGGCACTGTGCTGGACCCACTGCTCGTCTATAGCTGTGGACGCATCCAGGGTAAGCCTTCTAGCAATAATAACTAGTAATTCTAGCAATAACTGAGTGTTTTGTAGTCTGTATTCGGGTTCATCCCGAGCCGAACCTGGAGGAGGCGCGTCTAGAGCAGGAGGAACGCGACAAGGACTATATGAACACCTTCGACGTCTGCCGGCAGCTGAACATCAATGGAAGAGCCCTGGGCCGTCTGACCGGCACCTTCTGGGTAGTGCTCGGACCGCGGCGCGAAAAGATGGAGAACGTGGCCAAACACAACATCGGGCTGCAGCTGAAGTTTCCCCGCCAGAACGAGGAGCGGGCCGGCTACTGCCGTCGCCTGAACAACCAGTGGTTCTACTCCAGCCTAGCCCTCGAGCTCATGCAAAGGTACTGCGAGCGCTTCCCCGAGGTGGTCAGCTACTTCGCCGTGAGCAACGACAGGAACGAGTACTTTTTCGAACAGGACATTTACCCGGATGCCGTGGGCCAACACCATATCGAGGATTTGGCTAACTGGGTCCGTCAGCAACCGCACATGAAGGTGGATCGCATCTCCTGTGGCTCCAAGACAGTTTGCAAGGAGACCGTGGAACTGCTGATGGGCGCCGTCGAGGAGCTGCGTTCGATGCCCGTGAAGGATGTAAAGCTCCAGGTGAAGCCACACCTCCTCATCAAGCCAAATGTCACACTGCCCGAAGTGTATAAGTCCCGTCGCCCAGTGCGCCTGTTCGATCGCGTCGTCATCGTCCGCACCATCTACATGGTGCCGGTTGGCATCAAGGGCACCGTCATCGGCGTACACCCCGTCACCGACCCCAATCCTGTGCGACTAGAGTGCGTTCATGCCGTGGACACCTTCTGCGAGGTGCTCTTCGACAAGGCCGTTCCCAACTGCAACGACATCCACGGCATAGCCGAGGAGCGTGTTTACAAGATACCAGAAAATGCCCTCGTAGTGATTTGTTTGAATGGTGAGTAGTTCGGCGTAACTCCCTCCACGGATATCGATGTCTGCTAATCCCCCTAATTCTCTCGCTTAGAAAATGGACAAAACCAGCAGTCAGGCCTGCAGTTTGAGAAAACGCGCCAGAGCTATCATCAACCCAACCAAACGAATGCCCCGCGCATGGAGAAGCGAGAGAAGCAGAATCGGCAGCAACAGCAGCAGCAGCAGCAACAGCAACAGCAGCAGCAGCCACAAAAGCAACAGCAGCAGCAACAGCAGCAGCAGCAGGTGCAGCAGCTACAAAAGCAGCAGCAACAGCACCAGCAGCACGAGCATCAGCAACAGCGTCAGCAACAGCAGCAGCATCAGCAACAGCATCAGCAGCATCAGCAACAGCATCAGCAACAGCAGCAGCAGCAGCAGCTACAGCAGCATAAGCAGCTGCAGGAAACCAACAGCCGGTACGTTACGGCAGCAGGGTCGATCTTTAATGATATCACGATGAAAACGAAGATATCCGATGATTTTGTCAAGCCGCGTTCCGACCTCCCGGGTAGATCTAACCAGCCCATCACAGCTCAAGCAGTGTCGCAGCATCAGCATCACCATTCTGCATTGCCAACTAACTCACACCTGGAGGACGCAAACGAAAGTTGGCACCAGAGTTCTGCTCGACACCAGGGAGGCAATGTTGGCGCAGCCCCAAAACCGACCACAATATCGCCAGCGCTCGTGGTGTCGGATAAACAGACTCTGGCTCTCAAGTCGCTGCTGGGCATGAATAAAGAGCAGCAGCCACTTGGTCAAGTAACTCCTACATCCTTGCAGCAGCAGCAGCAGCAGCAGCCGCCGAAATCTCAGTCGCAAATAGTTCAGCGACCACTACCTGGACAAATGCCTGTGAGTCAGTTGTGTGTGGATGAATTATTTTCCAATTGCAACCTCCTTATTTTGACCTAGAAACTGCCGCAGCCTCCGATCTTTTGGCAGAAGGAGGCTCAAAAGCAAGCACAACAAGCTCAACAAGCGCAACAGGCCATCCACATTCAGACCCAACAGTGGTTCAGGACTATGCAGCCACAGGAGGTAGATATTCATCAGTGCCTCCTACGGCAGCGGCCTAATCCACCACAGCCACAACAGCGGCATTTTCAGCAGATGCCACCCCCCCACACTTATCAAGTGCCCTACAAGAACGGAAACCAATCATGCTATAACAACTCGCAGGAGCATGAAGTCTACAACAACAACAACACTCGGACAACACTGGAGCACCAACAGTATCAGACACAATATCCCCAGTATCCCCAGCATACCCAGCATACCCAGCATCCCCAACATTACCACCAACTGCAGGATATAGCCAGTAGCAGACCTCGTTACTCGTCCATACAGGACTTTGTGCCCATACAGGCATATCGTCCCAAGGTATCGCAGCGCTCTCAACCAATTGGGCAAATAGAGACGGAGACGGTGAGTTAATCGAACAAAATCTCTTCGGTAATTCAATGTATCATATTCTTTCATAGCCGTCGTCAACAGCAGCTGGAGAAATGAACTCCCGCCCTAGTCATCGGGAAGAAGTACCAAACGATGCGACTGTCGGACTGATGCAAACACTGAATATTCAGGTAAGAGTCAGAGCAATCCATGGACGAAATCTCAATAATGTGATTCCCTTTGCTCCAGCCATCAACATCACAAGCTGAACGTAGTACCGCCGTAGCTGCGAAGGTCGAAGCTGATCCAGCTGCCGATCCAGGTGCAGGATCCACTCCAGCCCAGGTAGGTGGAACCCCTTGAAGGCTGTTTCGCTCACTCAACCTCGCTCTGTGTATCTCTCTCTCTTCTTTTTGTGCAGTTAAAGGCGAGGAAACAGCGAGTGCCTCGCATTGGTGCAAAATTCGACTTGGATTACATTATCCATTGAGCTCAAAATCCGAACATAAAGAAGACTTAGAAGTGACAGGCAGCTCACACAAATAAACTATCATAAATATTAAAACGTGTATATAGCCACTTATACATTTTGTTATCATCTTACATCACCCATAAATAAACTCAAAAAGCCTACATTCTTCTTTAAAACAAAACAAATTATGTGATGTATACATTTTAGTTAAGCACGACGATGCCACAAAGTACAACACCTTTTTTGTAGAGCTTGAGAAACGATGTCATCGATGATGGTGTGTACACTGCAAAAAAATCTCAAGCCTTAATTTTGTAAGAGTACATAAAAATACTCCTTTTGAAAACATTTTACTCTGTTTTTAACAACAATTTGTTATATGAATATTACTTTTATACCCTTAATGGGTTCTTTTCAAGCGAAAAAACATCGAAAAACATCGATGCTTTATCGCAGACGATGCGTTGTCGTATGAGTGTCCTCTTAATTTTGGACATCTAAGCAACAGTCTTCAGTAGTAAACTTGAATGTTTGATTCGCTAAACTCTCACCAACTGTAGAATATTTATAAACCATTCAGCATTTTTTCTGTTTGCAGGGACCCATTTGAATAGGGGGCCCCATGCAGTAGGCAATATCTCCTTGAGGTTAGTTAGCTGGAGCTTCGTTCATATCTATGGCTAACACTATTTTCTGTCTTTTACACACTGCCGTCGATGGCGTAGAATGTCGATCGGCAAACAAATGTTCAAATGGCGTTTGCAGCTCTCACAGAAATAGTTCCCAGAGTTAGATGCCACGCGAGCTGTGGGTGGCTGCTGTACGTGAACTGGGCTGGCCGGTCGCACTTTCTTGCACTCTTGACGGTGCACCAGCTGTTCGAGCATATCACACTTTTCCAGCTGAAAGTCGCACTTTGAGCACTGCCAGGCCCGTGCCTGGAGGGCCGCTTGCATAGCCAGAGTCCACGGCTGGTCCGCCACACAGCCGTACACAACGTTTTCGGAGACGTTGATGCCACCCTTCGTCATGTTGGGACTCGGAGGATAGTCGATGTCGAAGGGATTTCCCTGCAGCTTTTCAAGGAGCGGCATTGGAGTCTGGTGTGTGTAGAGCCTCTTGAGATCAGCTGGCAGCAGTCGACTAACGGCGTACGGCACATCCAGTCCCATGAAGTCGATAAGCTCGTGCCAGAGCGTGATGTTTTTGGAAGTAACAGCTGGAGCCTTCTGGCTGGCGTTGAGCTCTAAAAAAGATTCGATTAACGTGAAAATAAAAGCAATAACTGGTTCTCCCCAGGAGGGGCCACGTACCATCAAGCTTGCTACAGAGCAGGCTGCTCCAACGGCGCCGCAGCTTGATGGCTCGGCACAGCAGCTTCATCCCGCTGTCGGGCACAGGGAAATCCAGGCACAGCCAGCCGTCAAAGACCATCTGTGTCAGGTCTGCGTTCGTATCGATCGCGAAGCCAAATAGGAGAAGCGTGTGGGCCACTGGAAGCCGAATGCAGCTCATCAGGTATGGCTTTGCTGTCTCTAGTAGCGACCTGCAAGTGACTGGTTGTATTGTATTTATTTTCTCGGGCGTCGTTGCCGGTTAATTACTGATAGCACAGCAGCTGATGGCGCTCACTGAGTGGATGCTTTGGTGTGTAGTAGGCCGGCTTCGGTATTAGGTCACTTTCGGCGAGCTTGAGGCACTCGTAGTACTTGGCGAAGTGGGAGTTCGGATGCAAGGAAATGAATGGCTTCATTCGAGTGTGAAAGAACTGTTGGCCCCCTCCTTTGCAGTAGTTGAACTCATCACTAATGGCCAGCTGCGGGTAGAAGCCGCTTACCAGTAGCAGCTTCAGCAAAACCACGTCCCTGTTGCGTTCCAGACGCGCCGAGCGCTCAAGTAGGGCGAGCTGGCGGGCATCGTGGCGCAGGCGAAAGTCCACGTCACGCACGTCCTCGTAGTTCTCATCTGGCTCCTCGTACTGCCCACCGCTGTGCTGGTGTTTTAGTAGCTTGGGGTGTCGGGGCTGCTCAAACCGCTGGCGCCGTTTGAGAGCCTTCAGCTGGCGCACTTCTCCGTGACGGCTGGCTCTTTCGGCACTGGTCAGCGCGCCGGACGTGCTGGGTGGAGCCATGTTACAGCTCTCCAAGATGCGCTGGAACTGCTGGCGCATCTTGCTGACCTCGTAGAAGCGTTGCTCCTCGATGCCTCGACGATGGCACCATTTCCTGGTGTTCTCCCGGGCCATTTTCAGCTGCAGCCACTCGCGGTAGGCGTTCATCAGGGTGAAGAGGTCTCCCTGAGTGGATTCCAGACTCTGGCGCTCCCGTTCGCAGTGCGCGTCCGTGTAAGCACGGCTGGTAAGCGGATTTTGTACGCTGAGCATGGCGGCCAGCGTCAACAGCTGATCCACCTCCGGGAACACGCAGCCCATTAGCAGCATTTTGCCAATTGACAGTTCCACTGGCAGGTTGCTCAACGAGCTGCCCAAAGGGGTGATCTTCTCCTCCATGCTAACGGCGCCCTAGTGGATGGTGGATAGACACAAGATATAAGCATACATCTATTTCCTCCTATTTTGATTGGGTAGTGACCCCAAAAGGTCACCCTAGAATAAGTTTGGTCAAAAATAAGGAGGCTTACATGCTGCTTTAGTGCCAGAATGGTCTGTTCGATGCGCTCTGATTCCGGAGGCTCAATGAAGGGAAAGGCCCTGACATCAGGCAGCCCCATGGATACCATTTGCAGCAACATTGTGTCCAGTGGGACGCGGTAGATTTCTGGAGTGGGATATGCCTCGAACGCATCGAACTGCTGCTGCGAGTAGAGACGAAAACAGAACTGGAAGAACAGAAAGTAAGGGGAGACCTGCATGAGACCAGGGACTAGACCTGTCGGTCGATTATTGAGCTTACCCCCGGCCCTGTGCGACCTGCGCGACCCTTGCGCTGTTCTGCCGATGATTTGGAGACCCAAAACTCCTTCAGGCGTTGTCCCTTGCAAGCTGCATCGTAGCTTATCTCTTTGACCTTTCCAGAATCAACAACAAACCGCACACCGTCCACAGTCAGTGAAGTCTCGGCAATATTCGTCGATACTATGCACTTGCGCGAGCCTTCGGGTGCATAGTCGAACACCTTGTCCTGCTCGGCCAGTGCCAGTCCACTGTGAAGTGGCAGGACGAGCCAGTGCGTTTGCTGGGCGGCGTACTCCTTTATGGCCTCGCATACGGTGTCGATCTCGTTAACGCCGCTAACAAAGATGAGGACATCCCCGCGCTGGCTGGCTGTAAGTGAAAGTCGAAGGTCCCAATTATATATAATCGTTAATTGAGGTCCAAAAGGCTTACATGGATACTGCTGGTCGATCAGGTTAAGGACTTGCACGAATGGAGCTGGGTCCATGCGCGTTCCCTGCGAACGATTAGACCTAGCCGTGGCTTGTCCGGCTTTCATCTCCAACGCTGGGGGAGGCATGTAGCGCAATTTTATGGGAAACAAGCGCCCCGGCACCTGTAGAAACCGCGCCCCCTCCTCTTTAAAGTAACATTGGAACAGTTCAACGTTGATGGTGGCCGACATAAGGATTAGTTTCAGTTGCGGCTTGCTCCGCAACAGACATTTGCTTACACCTAGCAGGAAGTCACCAAACAGATTCCGCTCGTGTATCTCGTCCAGAATGAGCACGTCATAGTCATCTAGGCTAGAAGAAACCGCAAGTTGGCGAAGTAACAGGCCTTCCGTGATGAACAGGATGTTCGTGTGCTGTGTTTTTCTTCTCTCGAATCGAATCTGGAAGCCCACCTTACTGCCGTAGTCTTCTAGCAGTTCATGAGCCACTCGCTTCGACAGCGACACGCATGCCAAGCGGCGCGGTTGAGTGCACGCTGAAAAGTTATCAAAAGGAATTAGCTTGGCTAATGGCATGGTGTCAGAACACTTACCTATGCTGCGGTATCCAAAATCATAGAGGAACTGCGGCACTTGAGTGGATTTTCCACATCCAGTGTCGCCGGCGATAATAACCACACGGGACGAGTCCATGGCCGCACGCAAATCATCCTTGAAGCGGGTAATTGGTAAATTTCTCTGCGCCTGGCGTAATTTCTTAATACGTTTAAACTTCTCTTTCTGCTTAAAGTCTAGGTAGATAAGCAGTATCTGCTGGAACTGCGCCTGCACCTCGCTAACGTTATCTTGTTCTTGGCGCAGGGCGGACTCATCCAGTTGAATGGACAGGTGCTTGCTCCTGTGATATGGCTGTGCTCTTTCCAGCTCTGGCTTCTGCAAAACTTTCGGAAGTACTGGCTGGCCCATACTGCGCAACATGCACTCATATTTGTTTACACATTTCCAGAAGTCGGCCTCGTTCTCGACAAAACTTAGCTGCTGACGGCTTTTGACTTTCAGAACGCCATTGAGCTCAGCCTTTAGCTCCAAAAAACTAAACTCCACTAGATTGAACACTCCCCGCGATTTACTTGATTTCTTTGACATAGCTGATCCAACCGGTGAACATTGTCATCAATAACTGTATGAAATTAGCCTGGTAAATTTCGTGCGAAGAGCGAGATAGCATCATAGACAAAACGTAAACATTAGTTTTCGTAGCCGGCTCAGATAAGCAAAATAAATAGCCGATTAATACTGAAAGGGCAACCGATACATACTAGAAAAGCAAAGATGGTATTTGGCTATGAACTAGAACTAAGAAACCTTTCGAAGATAGGGTAAATCTAGCCTGGGGAAAAGAAATGCAATAAAAATGGTTGTCGTTGTCTCTATATATATTTATATAAAAATGATTCGATGGTTTTTTAAAAACGTCATGACTCGACATTAATTTTCAGTCCCAGGGTGGTTTTAGGCTATATATAAAATGCTATAAGCATCAAGAGTAGTAGCGGGGGACCGATATGGTGGGAAATCGGTAACGGCCAAAAAATATTGCATACCCATACGTATTGCCAAATTAAACTGCTATGAAAAGTTTGCTTTGTAAATTTTAGTAAATTAATAGAATGAGAACAGGGTATACAACTATAATATTCATATAATCGGTATTCATGCGACTGTCTTAATTTGATTAAATTTATCATCGTAATTGCATTTATCTAGCCGGCTGGTACTAGAATACATATATCTGAGTACTAGTCGGCAGACAAACAGTAGCCACTATTTTAGGCGCCCAAAAACAGGGATGATTTCTTATCGTTTCTATAGGAATATCATCCCAGTTTTCGAAGCGATAAGTGTATCGCGTTTGAGTACTGGAGTATAACTTGAAGTACGACCATTATACGTTTACGGTTCTTATGTATGTATTTATTGGTTTTTGTGTAAATTGTTAACATAAACAAAGAATATTGTATTGATTTAGACTCTACCACATGGCACGTTGCACGCCGGATAGCTTGTTATAGTCCGCCAAATGGCGCCATACAATTCTGCTGAGGCGATATTTGTGGACAACTCCGCGCGGCCGTGACGTAAGTGCGCAACGTTCCCGAACACGGACCAATGATGAGTCGCGTGGAAAAGCAGCAATCTCCGCATCGGCCACTTCCCTCAGCTCAATGGGCAGTATGTCATTCTTCCGAAGTGAATTAACTCGAAGCCTCTCCTTGGCATGCTCTTGCACGCACTTGCGGCGCTTGACATCACGGATCATCTTCCAGTCGGCATACTTTGTTCGCACTTGCTGTAACTATGGGTTAACCACATACGAATGTCAGTAAAGTTAAAAGATTGACATCGATATAAACTTACGCCAAATCCAGCTAATTTCCCAGCTTGGCAAGCGAAACCACCAATTCTGGCCAGAGAATTCATGCTGCTGCTGTTAATTTCTGGTTTCTTCACACAAGGCTTAGGTCATATCGATATTTTTTAGCTAAGTTATCGATATGCGCATGACGACAGCTGATGCCGATTCCTATGGTGAATGGCTCATTGCTGCTGACATTTTTTGTGTTTAATTGTGTTTTTGTTTCGAATTCAATGTGAGCAAAGAGAAAGCGGGTATATTTTAAGTCATATATTTTGTTTGCCGGTTTCATGAAATTCATGGTATAGGCTAATTTTAATTAATAACCCAACGTTTTACATAACAAGTTTTGCGGCTATTTCTTCTTCTTTTTACTGCACCCCCATAGTTTATTGCTTTAAATTGTCTTTATAAAAGTCGTAAAGCTGGGTTGTTTTCTTAAGGTAGCGTGATGTTTAAGATTTGAGCCGCTGCAGCTTAAAGTTAATTGATAATTCCGAGATTCATGCGAAGTCGAATCACCGTCACCTTGTTCATTGGCATTCACGGGGAAACGCGCCCACGTCGCGTGCATGTGTATTGTTCTAGTTCCTGGTGTGTTGCTGTCTCACCGTCAAGTTAGAAAATTTGCTCGTGCTAGCAAACGTTTTTTTTTTCGCGGTGTGTGCTTATTTTTGGTGTGTGAAAATTTTTGACATTATTAACCGATTCGTTCATTTCTTTCACGCAGCTCCCGCAGAACTCGCAGTCGGCAGCCGCGTCCAAGCATTTTCATTGCCAACAACAAAGCTCACGCAGCTCAGTTCGGTGTAAAGGCAAGACAACCGTCAGCAGCTGAAGAAGAAGCATTGCAGAGATGCCTTCCAGTGATCCACTGCCGCCCAAGGAGGGTGCGCTTTTCCGAAAGCTACTAGTAAGTTGTACAAATATTTTTCCGCCCACTTGCCAGTGGAAAAATTCCTTGCCGGCTTCCGACTGCAGCGCTCGCCGTCAACATCCATGTGCTTTTTTTTATGGCGTGCCTATTTTAGGCACTGCTGCAGAAATAGGCCAAGCTGAAACCCAACCAGCTACATTCCCAACTTGGAATTGCGTACTCTTGAATCCGCAACTTATATTGAACTACGTTTGGTTGTTTGGGGTTTTCGTCGGTCGCATAACCTCAAACTTTTTCGTTGGGCGGGATGTATAAAATGTTATTGACTAGTGAACCAATGCAGTGGCTCTACTATTTGCCTTTTTTCTCTACTCCTCTACTCAGAAATGCTACGAGCTAAAGCAGTACAAAAATGGCCTCAAGCTGGCAAAGCAGATACTATCCAACCCCAAGTACATGGAACACGGGGAGACACTGGCGATGAAAGGTCTCACTCTGAACGGACTGGGGAGACGTGAAGAGGCATACAAGTATGTGCGTTTGGGTCTCCGCAATGATCTACGCTCTCATGTCTGCTGGCATGTCTATGGCCTTCTCCAGAGGAGTGATAAGAAATATGACGAGGCCATTAAGTGCTACCGCAATGCCCTCAAGTGGGAAAAGGACAATCTGCAGATTCTGAAGGATCTGTCGCTGCTTCAGATACAAATGCGCGATCTGGAGGGGTACAAGGAGACCCGTCATCATCTGTTCACGTTGCGGCCTTCTCAACACGCTTCCTGGATTGGGTTTGCCATGAGCTATCATCTACTAAGAGACTACGAAATGGCCAACAACATACTGGAAACGTTTAGCCAGTCTCAGACATCGATTGTATGTAGCAGAAAGCAACCTCTTAATTCCATTCTTATAATCTGTTTCCCAATTTCCATCTTTTCCATCTCACTCCACTGGCAGGAGGCGCACGACTATCGCCATTCAGAGCTGCTTCTTTACCAGAACCAGATACTCATCGAATCATCGCGCCTGGAGCAGGCCCTCGACCATTTGATCAAGTACAACGCACAGATTGTGGATAAGTTGGCCGTGCGCGAGACAATGGGCGATTTATACATTAAGCTACGGCAGCATGAGTTGGCGGTGCCCATCTTTGAATCGTTGATTCGTCGCAATCCCGAAAATGTCCTCTACTACGAACAGTACCTGTCCGCTCGGCAGGTTTCAGAGTCTAGCGCTGTGGTGGCCGTTTACCGTGAGTTCCAGGAGAAGTATCCACGCGCGCTCTGCCCCCGCCGTTTGCCGTTGAACGTTGCCAGTGGCTCGGAGTTCCGTACGGTAGCTGACGAGTACTTGCGTCGCGGCCTCCGAAAGGGCATTCCACCGCTTTTCGTTAACGTACGCACCCTGCACCAGGAGTCAGAGAAAGCGACTGTTATTGAGAAACTCACGCTGGACTACTTTGAGAATCTGACACGCTCTGGCCACTTCTCTCGCGAGGACGCCGATGCTGGGGCGGCCGTTGAGCCAGCCTCTGCGCTTGTATGGACGGCTCTGTTTCTGGCGCAGCACTATGACTATATGCGGGACACAGATCGCGCTCTGGACTACATTAATGTCGCCATCGACCACACGCCTACTTTGATCGAACTTCTTATAACTAAGGGACGTATTTTCAAGCATGCCGGCGATGCCGTTGAAGCCTACGTCTGGCTGGAGGAGGCTCAGAGTATGGATACAGCCGATCGGTAGGAATCTCAATCTCAATCATAGACAAATTCCAAGTGAAACGCGATACTACAAAAAGCGATTTGCTTGCAGTTTGTACCGAGAAATTGATTGGTCTCTTATAATATTTACATACTCGTGTAACTATGCTCCTTGATAATGTTATTTATCATTTCATTTTATTTTAATTAGCTACATCAATTCAAAATGCGCCAAGTACATGCTGCGCGCTAACCTGGTGCAGGAGGCGGAGGAAATTTGTGCGAAATTCACTCGAGAGGGTGTCTCAGCAATGGATAATCTGAATGAGATGCAGTGCATGTGGTTCCAAACGGAGTGTGCGTTAGCTTACCAGCGCATGGGTCGCTGGGGCGAGTCATTGAAGAAGTGCCACGAAGTAGAGCGTCACTTTGCCGAGATAGTCGAGGATCAGTTTGACTTTCATACATATTGCATGCGCAAGATGACGCTTCGGGCATACGTGGGCCTGTTGCGGCTGGAGGATGTCCTGCGCCAGCATCCGTTCTACTTCAAGGCTTCAAAGTGCGCCATTGAGGTGTACCTACATTTATATGATAAACCTCTCAAGTCGGAAGCGGCTATTGAAGAGATTGGCATTGGTATGTTAACACTGTTCAAGTTATAATGCCAGGTAGTGAATTTTGAATAACATGTTTCTCTGCTCTGCAACAGAAAACCTTCCTCCGTCTGAGTTGAAGAAGCTGCGCAGCAAACAGCGCAAAGCAAAAAAGAAAGCCGAGCTTGAAAGCGCGCAGGCCGCGCAAGCACAAGTGAAGCGCGAGCAACACCAGAAGTCCAAGCAGCAGGCTAGCCAGGAAACCGACCCTGATGCGCCGCAACTGGACGAGCTCGTGGCAGAGAAGTTGGAGCGGACGGACGAACCCTTAGAAAGAGCCATTGACTTCCTAAAGCCGTTGCAGCAGCTAGCCAAAGAACGCATTGAGACGCATTTACTGGCCTTCGAGGTGTACTATCGTAAAAATAAGCCGTTATTGATGCTTCAGTCGATACAGCGTGCCCGTGCCGTCAATTCAGCGCACCCTGAGGTCCACAGCTGCATTATTCGATTCATGAAGTCGCTGTCCAGCGCTCTTAAACAACAGCGGTTCAACGAACACGTCCAGCAGGTGCTTGACAAGGCCACCAAAGA